TGAGAGGACAGGCCGGCCCCACAACTTCCACAAGGCATGGTCTGGGTACGGTCCCCCAAAGTTTGCCAAAGGGTGATCCAGAAGCTGCAGAACACAGCCTCAGTGGTTTATGTACAGCTAGGTTGAAGCGAGAATCCTCTTCGGATAGGATGTACTGTAGAAGTAGAGTTAGCCAGAAACCAGTTCTCAGTAGAGACATCATCCTAAGGACTGTAGTAAAGAAGGGGTTATAAAGGCTGCAACACAATTCTGTTTGCCAGTGTCCAATCACCTGAAGGTGGCTGCATATAACCCAGGGTCTATGTTAAAGTAGCCTGTGTCCTGTACTGTACAATTAAGAAATCACTTTTAGACAAAGAAAAGGCTTGTTTTTTCCCCCTTGTTTTTTTTTTACAACATGTTATGTGGTGTGGTTGACCAGGGGGCGCCTGTCAGGTAGGCTGAATGGGACCCCATTATTTCTATTGGTGGCCCTGTAGCAACATTTTGTGACAATATGCAAGAAACAAACAGGCAATCATGGCAGAGCGAGATTAAAAAACTTGCAGTTGTAACATTATCCGACAATAACAAATAACAGTAACAGTAGTGTCATTACATGCTCTATACTCCAGTTCTGCTGCTTTTACTCCCTTGTGGTGCTACTAATTTCTGTATAAATGTAGTTAATATTATTATATAGGATTTATATAGTGCCAGCAGTTTGTGCAGCGCTTTACAACATAAGGAAGACATTGCAATCACAATACAATTCAAGACAAGATGGTAAGGAGGGCCCTGCCTGTGAGGGCTTACAATCTAAAAGAGAGAGGCAAGTGATACATGAGGAGGTAGCTGTGTGGGGATGGATTATTTGAGAAATTGATAGTTCAGTGGTTAGGTTGAGCTTGGATAGGCTTCCCTGAAGAGATAAGTCTTAAGTCAATCAGTGTGCGAGATAGACGGACAAGTTGGGGTAGAGAGTTCCATAGGATGGGAGAGACTCTAGTGAAGTCCTGGAGGTGAGCATGGGAGGAGTTGACGAGGGAGCTGGAAAGCAGGAGGTCTTTTGAAGAGCCGAGGGGACGGTTAGGGTGCTACTTTGAGACCAGGTTTGAGATATAGCCAGGGGCAGAGTTGTGGATGGCTTTGTAAGTGGTTGTTAATATTTTGAATTTTAATCTTTGGCTATTGGAAGCCAGTGTAGGGATTGACAGAGGAGGGTTGCAGACACTGAGCGGTTAGTTAGGTGAATGAGTCTAGCAGCTGCATTCATGATAGACTGAAGGGGGGATAGCCTGTGTAGTGGAAGTATAATGAGGAGGGAGTTGCAATAGTCAAGACGAGAGATAACAAGTGAGTGGATGAGTAATTTTGCGGTTTCATTGGTGAGGAAGGGGCGTATTTTGGAGATGTTACGAAGGTGAAGGCGTCAGGATTTGGATAGTGATTGGATGTGGGGAAGAAAGGTGAGGTCCGAGTCAAGGATGACACCTAGCACCATGGCATGTGGGGAGGGCTGGATAGTTGTGTTAATAAGCGGGAGTAAGGAATTGTGACCATTGTTTTTAGCTGTTAGTAAGTCATTAGTGAGTTTAAGGAGGGCGGTTTCAGTGGAGTGTAGGGGGTGAAAGCTCGACTGTAAGGGATCGAGAAGGTTGTTATCAGCGAGGTGGCGGCTCAGGCGGCTGTAGATAAGACGTTCTACGAGTTTGGAGGTGAATGGGAGTAAGGAGATGGTCTGAGATTGTGAGGTCGGTATGGTCCATTTATGGTTTTTTGGGTATTGGGTGACCAGAACATGCTTTAGAGAGGAGGGAAAGATGCCAGCAGAGAGTGAGAGATTGAAAATGTGAGTAAGAGAGTGTAGGATAGAGTAAGAGGGAGACCGAAGTAGAGGTGAGGGAACAGGGTCCAGGGTGCAAGTGGTGGGATGGGTGTCAGAGAGAAGCTTTGTAACCTCCTCTGTGGTGAGAGGGTCAAAAGAGGAGAGTAACAAGTGTGATGGTGGGTCTGGAACATGAATAGGGGAAGGTGACTGCACAGTGGCGATCTGATCCCGAATTGTATCTATTTTGTTTTTTAAATGGATGGCAATGTGCTGGACAGTGAGTGAGTTAGTGGGTGGTGGCGGTTCAACAGTGAAACTTCATGTCCCTGCCTGTGTACACTAATCCATAAGAATGCCAGAATAATAGAAACAGAGCAGGACAGGCTAGTTTAGTAATTGTAAAGGAACTATATGTCCTAGCAGTTTGGGGAGGGTGAGAGATGTATGGAGAGGAGAGCTGCAGGTTGTCACAGGACCAGCACACCTCCTATTAGGTGATTTACCAGCAATAATAAAACTCACACACAGTGATGGGCCACTCATAACAAAGCAGTCCGCATCACAGTTAGTCCCCGCCTCCTTGATTCAATTAAATTGTATGTGAATTCTGAATGTGGTGCTTTATGAAGAACTTGGGTTCAGTTTTTACTTAACAGCATTACCAGTTCATTGATTGGGTTCACTTGGTGACTGGAATTGGTCTTTCAAGCATATCTCTAGATAATTATTTTTTTCTAATTTTGCAAGGAGTGGGGAAGGATTAAACCCTCTGGATTTTTTTTGCTGTCTTTGTCCCCAATGAGACAGGTTGTTGGTTATGTGTTTAGATGAAGCACTGAGATTATTTCCAACACAGGTGACCTTTGTCACTTAAAAGAAAGTGAGGTGAAATCCAAAATTAAAAAGATGTCCACAGAACAAAACTTCAGAGGAAATCTTTCAATGGGGACATCTGTTCCAGGAACAACTGTCCAAAAGGGGAATTTCCCATACTTTGGGAGATTATCTCCAACATCCTGTTGTGCATCTCTGACCAGAAGTGGGTCCTGGTTCTCTCTGACTTGGCAGGGTTTTTAACCCTTCCCTACTCTATCCAAAACTAAAAAAAGAATGTTGGCAACAGAAACACTTTAATGATGTTTACATGTCTCCTGTTTATCTTATTTTTTTTCTTTATGGTAAATTGTGAAGGCTTTTAAACTTGTTTGTATTATTTATATGATTGCTGGGCACAGGTACTAACACATCATGATTAAAAAAACTGTTACTTACTGTTATCTTTTATTTAATAACTGTTGTCTATGGCCAGCTTTAGCCACTGAAGAAAGTAGCAGTATTTAATTGTATTTCTTATATTTTAAACATTATGCCATCAAAATTAAGCATAAACGTGTAAACAGTGTAATCTTTATTGCATACATATATAATGCTTTAAATCTAGAAATATACAGTAACATCAATTATTTGTATCTTGCAATTGAAAATACGTGCATTAAAAGTAAAAATGGAATGAATGCTGATTGCATATTTTGTATGAATTACTGTATTTACATGCATCATGTACAAATACACATCTGCAAATCCCCTTTTCAGTTCTTTCCTCACAAGTTGTATCCCAGAGGATAGAAGTAATCAGTTTGGATGGTTGTGAGTCACAACCATCCAAACTGATTACTTCTATCCTCTTGGAAGCTGCCTGTCCCCACCTAAGAGTCCAGCAAATTACAAGTATCTTAACTCTTATACTCTAACACCCTACCTTTCTTCTGCTATGAAACAGACAAGATGTGGCAGAAAATATTTGATTATGAATAAATGGCATTAATGTCATTTTTTTTTCTCTATAGTGTGGCATTGCTTGGCAATACCATGGTGTTATGTGGCCTCAAAGTCACCCAGGATTCTCAGCCAGAGGGGCTGAGCGGTACAAGGAAGCAATTACTTTTACCAGGAAAGAGCTGGCTTTTCAGCCCTTTCCGGATTTTCTGGATTTTAGTTGGAATCCTGGAGTCGGGAGATTTAGAAGAGAATTGGGAGGAATGAAATCCCCATTCCTGGGTCCTTGCAGTAATAGTGACCAGCACCCAATGATTGTGCACCTGTGCACAACCCTTATGAAAAGGCTGCAGGCTAAAGGTGGCCATACACTTTACAACCATCGCAAGACCTTAGTCTTGTGATGGTTATAAAGTAATTAAAAAAACGTACGATCTGCCCATCTTGGTAAAGGCAGATCGTACTTGCGATCATCGCAAGCCCGCCCCCCTGAGGGGCGGGCTTCCGATGACCGCAATGCTGAACGGTCATGCTGAATACGATCATGCTAAAAACCAACCGAAAATCGTACGATTCTCGGCCGGTTTTCTAGCATGCTCCTTAGACAAAAGACCTTACAGTAAAAACAGTTGCACGCCTTCCATACACATTGCGATTATCGTACGATCGCGGGATTTCCCGCGATTATCGTGCAATAATTGCACAGTGTATGGGCACCTTAAGGTTCAAGGTTCCACCTGGGAGTCAGAGGAGGTGTCTGTGCAGGAGTCAGGAGGACTCCATCTTGGAACCAGCCTGTGTGGCGAGTCTGTTGGATACAGCCTGTGTGGGGGGAAAATGTTATTTTTCAAAAAGACAAAACTTAACTTTGTGTTAATATGTTGGAGAAACCCCTGTGAGGGAAAAATGTCTGTGTAACTTTTAAATAAAAGTGTTGCATTCATATATTTTTTTTTTTAAAGGACTCTAAAATAGCCATATAAAATATCACCATTTGCCTTCGGTTCTTACATGGGATTAATGCTGTTCTTTATCTCTACGATGGTAATTTTTTCAATACCTGTGGTGGAATGGTGTGTTTAGTTTGTTTCTTAAATTTTTGTTTATATTCCTCCACAATGACTTGCCGTACTGTATATCATTGGGATTCTATGCTGTTCTTGTTTATATGGATAGTGTTACCTACTTGACTTTTATTATTATGTTGTATTCTTAAAATTTTATTAAAACTTTTGACATTTAAATAAAAGTGGGCAGTAAGCCCTAAAAAGAAGAAGTTTGCGAGTGGACTACGTCCTAAATGCACTACCATTGTGTTAACTTCCCCAAATATCATAATAGGTTGACTTCGATGGCCTTTTTTCAACCTGACTATATAATCTATGTAATCTAATCATCAGCATCACAAACTTACCATTATGGTGTGTGTCAGCATTCTGACTTGGAAAGGATTTTATAACAGCTGATCGGCGATACACAATATGCGATCTTCCACTCTCTTCTTTGTTGTCTTTTTCTAGTGGCTCTATGAAAAATTCCTCCTTGTCTGTACGAATCATACCAGCCTAAAATGATAGGTTAAAGTGGTATTAAACTCAAACTTTTTTCAATCATGAATCCAGATCAAACAAATCTACAGTAGATTGCCCAGCAAAGCATTGCTTTACATTTTTGCACAAAAACTTTAGAATCATCTGAACAGCTGCATCCAAGTCTCTCAGGCTAGGTTCACACCAGATGCAGTGCCTTCCGGTCCGATTCTGGCCAGAACGCACTGCATCGCATTGCGTCCGGGTCACTTTTTTGTGGGGCAGGAGGGGGTGTGGCGAGCCAATGGAGTGAATGACACCGTAGCCATGCCCTCCAGCCGCAATGCGATCGGCCGCACGGGATTGCAAAGCACATTATAGTGCTTGCAGCATTTTGATCGCATCGCACCAGACCGGACCACAGGCATAATGTGCCTTCTGATCCTGTGCGGCCGATCGCTGTGGCTGCCTCCTGCCCCACAAAAAAAATGAGCCGGCAGCAATGCTATGCAGTGCGTTCTGGCCAGAATCGGGCCGGAACGCAGTGCATCTGGTGTGAACCTAGCCTCAGCTCAGTTTCCCTGAACTTCCTGTCCAGAACAAGATCACAAAGGACAGTGCAAACTGCATCAACTTTTCATCTACTATCTTGAAGAAGGGAGGGCAGGGGGCCAGGTGGGAGGGGAGTAGCTTGATTTGCTATGTCTGTGGAGACACACACAGCTTACTAAGGCTGCCTATACACCTTGCGATAATCGGACACTTTTTGCCCGATGATCGAACTGTCATAAGATTTTCGTACGGCGGCCCCATACTGCCCCGATTAGCGCAAGGTTGGATCAGCGGTAATTAGTAGAAAGCACCTGGACGAATTGCGGTAATCGACCGCACGTATTTTCGCCTGCGCATGTGCAGTGTAAATCGTACGAATTTTGACGTACGGAAACGCCCCCAACCTTGCGAAAATTGTACGATCGACCGAAGTTTTCTAACCTGGTGGTTAGTCAAAAGTCGATTGATTGTACAGTATTTGCGGTTGTACACTGCCCATCAACCTTGCGAAACTCGGACGTTCTGCCCTAACATTGACTAGTCGCTGACGGCCATAATTCGCACGTTCAGACCCAGATTTTCGGCTGACAGTCCAGTCTATAAACACTTTAACAACAGCTGCTCTTGAACATTTAACCTATTCTGCTGTTTTGCTGATACTCGCTCCATGGCGTGAGCGCCAACAATCACCCCATGTTCAAAGACTGTTAAATTGCGTTGTTTACCCATATCTTCAGAAAAAAATCACTTCTACTGTCGTGGTAAACAACCTGCTTCCCTATTTATAATGGCCTGGCCCTCTAGCAACTTCAGCGCGAAATTATAGCTAATTAGCCTACAAACGTCAGGTGGTCATAAAAATATGGCCACTCAGTGTATGTGCCACGCTAAACACCTAAAACTGAAAGCAAATATGAGCAAAATTACATCAAAATGAAAAAAATCTATAAAAATATCACAGCAAGCATTAATACAACATTCAAAAAGTGTCCTGTACAATCATACATGTGCAAACACAAACTAGTGATCTTTGTCAGCACCCTGGAATCGAAAACAGCATAATACCCAAGATTTATGTTGGATAATAAACTTCTTCAGGATAATGAGAAATGCTTTCCAATTCCGTACTCAAACGATTTGTGTAAATATCCAACTCCAAGATAAGGTACCCGTACAATAATCAGTATCTCAGTGTTAGTCCACACTTTCACCATCACTTCAAAGTCATCCTTATCAGCAATGTGCAAAACATTAACCTCCACTGCTATCAATCTCTGTGTAAGGACCCTCCAGAGAGCCGCTCACCTGATTAAAAGGCCTTACAGCAGAAGGTCTTACTTGGCGATCCCCTTTATCTTCAAGGAGGCGGGATATAACCTCAAATTATGACCGTAGTTCAACTATTCTTTTCAGTCTCATTCCCCATAATCAATCATATCATGCATAAAACAAAGAAGAATCCATAGTGCACACCATAATGCATAAAAACTGCTTTATTAAAATGTTATATACATAGAACTTAACACGATCTTGATCAAATCAAACAAATCCCTGGCTGCTGCAGCATCACTGGGGCCTGGGGGACCCACTTTGTTTGCCTTCCTCTGTGCCTCTGCTAGATTGCAGCATACTTAGGCTTGTTATGGTTTTATATGCCTGTAGCCTGAGCAGAGAGCCCCATCTGCTGTGGCTGCCAGACTCACCGACCATCTGAGAGCCCATACTGACCTCCTGGAGCCCATATTGACCGCCTGGAACACATACTGACCACCTGGAGCACATACTGACCACCTAGAGCCCATTCTTGCCACCTGGAGCCCGCACTGACCGCCTGGAGCCCGCACTGACCACTTGGAGCCCGAACTGACCACCTGGAGCCCGCAGTGACTGCCTGAAGCCCATACTGACCACCTGAGATCCATTTCTGACAACCTGAGATCCCCTACTGACCACCTGAAAGCCCATACTGACCACCTGAGAGCCCATACTGACCACCTGAGAGCCCGCACTTACCATCTGGAGCCCACCCTGACCACCTGGAGTCTGTACTGTATGAACACTAGAAGTATGAACAGTGAACACTCATAGTTCCATACAGCATTTCTCCACATATAGGCTAACTTAAATAGTCATTACCTGGTGGACCTTTACGATCAATAGTTTACCCTATACCAAGGGCCGGATTAACATAGGGGCGGGTGGAGCTTCAGGTCAGCCCCTGTAAATAGGCCAACCAGTATTGTGGCTGGCCTGACACGGCAGCC